TTAAATGGATTTTTGAACTTTTTATCGGGAGACTGCGAAATGTATCAAAAAGCTAAGCAATCCAATTTTCAACTCTTCAAACGAAGCGTACAGAAAAGCTCGATTTCCAAACGCTTCGCCACGATGTAGCCTTTATTGATTTTAGACGTGAATTCGTCGTCAGAATGTTTGTCGGAGCGCCAAGAAGAAGAAAAAAAGCTCCCGAAAAATGTATCGAAGGAAGAATTAGGAAGAATCAATGATGAAAAATTTGGGGATAACTCGTTGGCAGGCGTTTCACGTGCGCGAGCCTAGCGGCATGACGAGCAGTGGGGCATCGAACGAGCGGCGAGGATTCAATTGGGCGTGTATATAATACACTATATATGCATCGCATATAGCACACACACACACACACACAGACACAATACGCCTGAGCATAGAAATACGAGAGAGAAAGAGAGAGCTGACGCAAGGAAAAGCGTGCGTCATTCGAGAATTTACCTTAGCCTTTATAATATAACACATCGGGAGCGGGCCATTATACGCTGCCATATTCTGCGCGCGACTTATCTCTGGCGTCGACGTACCGATGATGTATAGACTTCTTCTTTTCTCTCTCTCTCTCTCTCTCTCTCTCTCTCTCTCTCTCTCTCTCGTCTCTTGGCCAGCTTTGTCGCTTTTATAAACGACACACTCGACTTTCGGCCTGCGAGTCTCGATTATTCGGATCTATATATAATATAAGGAGCCTCGTGGCTCGATTCAGAGCTCGGCCAAGCACGAAAGCTCGGCGCGCGCGAGTCGAGCTTTTTTTCGTTCGTCAATTCCAGCTCTTTCCTCCCTAAAACAGCTGCGGCGATTTTGCATCGACGCCCGATTTGGTTGCTCGCGGATGCGAATTATATTGAATTCGCTCGTCGCCGCGAGCTGACGTATATAAGACGCCTTGACCGCGCGTCATCCGCGCGCCGAGCGTCGACAATTAAAATGCTCCGCGCATATATATATATATATATATCTTTCGCGCGCAGTCTGCGCTGTTTCCTTCGTTCGTCGGAGGACGCGTCGTGAATTCGTAATGCGCGGATCGCACGGCGCGCGATACAAAGAATATATCTTCGAGCGAAAATATACGACCTTTTTCGACCTTTCGAGCGCCTCGAGCGAGAGCCGTATAACATATACGAAAAAAAGGAGAAGATACAGGCGTACTGTGCGCGCGAGCTCGTGCAGCATCGCCCGCACACAGGCGCTCGCAATGCAGCGCACAATTAATTTGGCTAATTTAGGGAGTCGAAGTCGAAGCCACAGGTCGTGTGTCGCGCTCTTATCGTATCGATCTCGCTCGACGTTACTCAGTCGGCCGGGGGTGCCTAGCCTAGCTACTGCATGTATTATATATGACGTATATTATTGCTCTTGGAGCGAGGAGGAGGCGCAACCTCAACAAAGTCTGCTGCTGCTGCTGCTGCTGCTGCGAGCCGGAATAATTAATAAGTAAATGAAGAGTAGCGGGGGCGCGTCAAAATGCACTTGGCCAAAAGTTTGCACCGCGAGTGCACTGCTTTATTATCGATGCCGTCCGAGTACATCGACGATGTAATATATATATAATGTATATAACTGAAAGCTCGACGATGTATTATTTTTTATTATATTATCATTATTATATGTAGGCGAGCGAGAAGCGCCAATTTGTATGTTGTACATCGGCGGCGACGTTCCGGAGTCAACTCGTTTGGATTAGAGAACGTTCGCTAATACGATTGACACAGTCTCTATATAGATGACGTTATGCTGCTGCTGCTGCTGCGAGGCATACAGCGTATACGTAATGGCATTGACCGCATCTATGATAAAAGCGACTTGGCCCAATCGTCGACTATGTAACTGCAGAAATCTTCGTACAATACCGCGTGCTTGCACAATACAATGCTCGATCGGATCGCTGCGGCGCGCGAATCGCGATCAAACAATTTTACGTTACGTACGGCCGACTTTTCTCGAGCTGTCGGGTAAAAATTGAAAAATCGATCGAAAATAATGCAGCAGCGCGCGACCAGCTCCGTGTGTATGTGCGAAATGTTGAGGAAACAATAAAAAAAAAAAAAAAAAAAACAGAAAGAAAAAAAAGCTGTACACCGTTTACTCGAGCCTCGATCGATCAATTATGCAGGCGCGCGAAGGAAAACAAAACGGAAGCCCCGTATAATGGATAAACAGGTTACTCCGTAATGCGCTTCGGGGTTTACTGTCTGGATAGCGGATCGCTATATAAGGAAGGAGCGCGACGCTGCAGCAGGACATAATGGTCCGACAGCTGATACGAGAACAATTATTGCTATAACTCGCTTGGCTTTCGTAAGGCTCACGACATCAAGGTTGCCTATACGCCTGCCTCGTCTATGTATATATATATATATGTATAACTCGAGCGTGTGTATACCTTGGAAACATCGGCTGCTCAATGTGTACAGAACGTGCGAGTGTATATATATATATCTGTATAATAACGTACGCCTCGTGACCGCGTGTGTACACTATCACGGCGAACCGATTGTAGCCTCTTTTTTTCTCGCGCAAAATATTTTTGACAGAATATAAATGTACTACTACTGCGTGTGGTGTGCTGACCAATGAATTTCCGCAGCTCGTAGAGGAGCATCCTCGTCCGCCGGTAACCCCGGTACGCCGGGCTTCTCACGAAGATCCAGGGCTTTCTCGTCGACGCGCGATTTGCCCCCGTGCTCGTCTTGCCGCTAAAACTGTAACTGCGCCACATCGTCCTGGTATATAGACACACACTCACACACACACACACACACACACTCCGAGTCTCACAACATCGCGACCTTGCGCTCGCTCGTATGCGATTCTATTTAAATTTTCAATGAGCCGATAATTTTGCAAATATGTACTTACTGGACTTGGGGAGGGCACTTCTTCTCGAGTTCGCCGCGGACTCAGCTAAGAAAACAAACAGGCCGCGTGAGTGTTGGTATACAGACAGGCATATATTGTATAGCTGAATTCGTGTCGAATGTGTATATGTGTGTATGTAATGCGACTCGCAGTGAAAAATTGTGCGTATACGTGTGCGTGTGTGTATGATTTCGTGGGGTAAACTCACAGGAACTATCATCGGAATAATATTCAGTAGCCTCGTCTGTTTCCGAGTCATCGTAGAAATTTTTGTCGAATTTTCCGATGCGCGTTCTGCGAGTTTGACGGCTGTTGTGGTTGCTGCTGCCGTTGCTGCTCTTGTTGTTTCGGTTGTTCCTGTCGCGATTGCGCCCGCTCATCTTTTTGTTTAAAACAAAAAAAAAAAAACACTTGGCTCGGCGCACTGCTATTAAAAATTACAATATCGAAAACACACTTGGGATCAATTTTAATGATGCCGACGCGATTGCAAAGAAAGAGTCAAACTCGAGTTCGATGAGCCATACGTCATGCGCAGCACTGAGAGGCCAAGAGAGCCCAAGCGGATTATTTTCCTCGCGTGTATATATTATTATAAATGTGGCGAACTCAATCTCTCTCTCTCTCTCTCGGCATAGAGCTTCAAATTTTGCCACAATAAATTACCAACTACAATTCTGCTACTTCGCGCTATACCCCACACATACGCAAAACAAACGCACACATTCGAAGATACGCGCGAACTGCTATTTCTCTGATTATTTGTGTACACATGTTTTGCTGCCTGTGCGCCTCTGTCCGAGTCCAACGACAATAATTCGAGGTTTCCCTATTTGAGAGGGAAATTCAATGTTTCCTTTTTTTTCTATCTATAATCAGTTACTTCAATTTTTAAGGAAGCTTTTGATCGAAAAAGTTTCACCTATCGTTAACTTCAAATATTGAATTCTCTTTTCAACTGCAGATTACTTTTATAAAAAGATACGAATTTTAGTCTTGCAATATGCTGCTTGTAAACGAATTGAAATTTCATTAAAATGCACAGATGCGCACTCCGTGCACCTGCACTAGAATAGTGTGGCAGATGTGCCGATTAGATACGAAAAGTTATTAAATATACGAAATTAATAACCAGGTTCAAAATTTTAAATTGTCAGAAAAGCTATAACTTTCGACGATGACGTCAATGATATCTTTCATCAGTTTTCCATTTATTATACTTACCCTGCTAATTATGAAATTTTAGTGAGAAAATTGATATCTTGCAACGAATTGATACAAAAGAATTTTCACGGCTGAAGGCTTTTTCAACACGAGTCAAACATCTATGCAATTTTTCATGAGTTTTAATTATATATAGATTATTAGCGGATGTTGACCACTTTACGACCTATGCGGTGATAAATCGTGAAATGCCTTTTTTGCCGGATATAATAAGAATTTTAAAATTTCACAGAATAATTATTGCATCAGATGTTTTGTTTTCATAAAATTTTATTAGTCTAGAATTAACGATTAGTTCTTTCGTAAGAGGGTTTCGCTTGTATCGATTATAATTAATGTATAAAGTTATAATTAATGTTGTTAAATATAGCTCGATCCAATTAGGATTTAAAAATTCGATTTATCATTATCGGGAATACATTTTGTTGATCAAAGTGCTTTGAGCTTGCAGTAGTATCGACGCATTTGTAATCTTTCGCAAACGTTGAAACATGATATTACTCAGATTAAGTTTCAAATTCATCGAATGGAGTATTACTGGAATCGTTAAAAATAAATAATGATACCTGATTGTCACGAAAATCGATACGCTTTTAATCCGACAAGTTTTGTACTGGCGCATCGACGCTGCCTTGTACCGAGAACTTTTATTTAAATTCTCCAAACTAAAATATAAATCCATGTTTGCGTTCAATTTTCTTTTCTTTTTTAATGTTGCGAAGAGCTAAATTGTCATTTACCAAACAATGATCGACCTACATTTTTAAAAGAGTTGCCTCATGAAAACTTTTATTCGCATAAAACAATCAACTTTGAAAAATAAAATCCAGTACGAACATCATTGATAAGAGAAAAAAAAGAGGACATCTTACCGACTCGTTTGTTGACGGCTGTGTTGATCATGGAGCCGAGCTTGGTGAGGCTGGACTGCCTCATGATGCCTGCTGGACTCTTCATTGAAGATTTGGGAGATGATGGTTGACCGATGACACGCGAGGTGTCCGAAGTCCGATAATCGGGGCTGGGGGCCCGCTGGTGCGTAGCTCCCCATAGACCCACTACCCCCGCGTGGCGCGTGGTAATTGAGTCTGCCGACCGGCGACGCTGGCCGGTGTTCAGGCCGCAGGTTACCTGCTGCCCTTTGCCTCGGCGACGCCAAAATCATTCACCGATGACTCTCGGCTGAAAAAAAAAACAACAACGAGCTTCATTTACTTTTTTTGCTCAAAAGCCTCCAAGATTATTTAAAAACTATATCGTTGAAAACATTGTTTAAATCGAGTATAGAATTGAGGCAAAAACAGGATAACAGTTACGTGAAATATTACGAAACTCGTGACAGAACGTACTTTTACAAAAATCAAGCTTAAAAATTTACAAGGGTAGGTAAAGTAATTATCTACGATTCGCCGTTGATAAACGTATTTGAAATTCTCGGCAGCGAGTTCAAACTTTTATTTTTCTCTGCGTATACCGCGCGCGTACAAGTACACACAATTTGTGCGGCATTATAGCGTCGGAGCGCAAAGTCAGCCGGTGTATAAACGCGCGCGCGGAGTCGAGAGAAATCGTAGAAAATCAAGTTTTTTCTAAGGTTTCTACAAAGCACAAGCCATAGCGCGCGCGAGCCAGCACAGGCAGCGAGAAAAAGAGAGGGAATTTTTTCAGCGCGCACATTTCCGCAGAAATCTAATAAGCTAATGGCAATACCGATTCATTGGGAGAGCTGGTCGAATTTTGTTAGTTTACCCCTCGAGAGAAAGAGAGAGAGAGAGAGAAGGAAAGAGAGACAGCGCATGGCTTCGTAACATTAGTGCCTCGTTATAATTTAACGGAAACTCGCAATTTTTCCCGGCCCAGTTCCGCGCGGCAATTGATCGCGGCGGCGGTGGTATTTACACTCGCCGAGCGATCTCCCTGATTCGAGTTCGCGAGCATATAGCTACTTTTTATCCCGCAGCATTTTCGCCCTCGATGTCATCGCGTCGACCCGATGACCATCCACATTATATATGATATACGCGTCGCCCGATGCCCGCACGTGGATAAACGATGCGCGCGGAAAAAGTTGAATATAAAGCAAAAAAGCTCCTGCAGATCAGCTGGCCCCATGGATTGTGAAGGAGAGACTCGTCGCGACTGTCGAATCGTCACGGCGGGCAAACTCTTTTCTCGACATCGACTAGCCAATACAGTAGTGCGCTGCTATATATACACAAAAAATGTATACTCGGTCGTAAAAAAGTGCACAGCGTTGCAAAGTCAACTCAGCAGCAGCAACAGCAGCGATAGCATGAGCAGAGCTCACAAGTGTGTCGGGGGTAAGAGATTTTTCTCCACTTAGCCGCGTCCGTTTTATATATATACCATATATAGTGGCAACGTATTTTTGTGCATATAATAGCTCGACGACAGGCAGCGGTGGTGCATTAGCGCTTCGCGATGTATATCTCTGCCCGACGAGCTCCGCTGCCGAGTACTACTCTACCGTATACCGCTACTGTACAGTCGTAGCGGTGGCAGTGCAATTGCGGCCAGAGAAAATATCGCCTCGACTCGCGTGCGCTGCTCGAGCTCTCGAGCAGTCCCGGCTTGTACGCATTACATACAATATATCTATGTATCTGTGCGCGCGGCAAAAGCTCTAAAGCTCGGATATGGCACGAAACGAGCAAGTGCAAATGTATTTGTAGCGATGGGCGATTTTTCTTTCCCCGAGCTTTTACTATTATTATTTCTTCTTTTCTTCTTTCTTATTTTACGCGCGCTCGACCAATGTCGCGCAAGATGCTAAGAGCCCAGGCGCCCCAATGTCAAACGGAAAAACGTCACTGCACTCCAGAGATACATAAAAAAAAAAAAAGACAGGCAAGCTGGCAGGCTAGCACTGCTTTGCTCTCTCTCTCTCTCTCTCTCTCGATTATTTGATTACGCCTAATACACGTCGAGTGCAGAAAAAGCCATGGATGCAGCTCGTCGGCCCGCCCGTATAATACGTAAGCTGTTTATTTACAACGAGCGTAACGATTCTCAATTACTCGACCATTGCCATTGTGCTCGGGTGTAGCAACAGCAGCTCGTGTGCTTGTGGCACGTATACATTTCATTCGAGTATAATGTACCTGTTCAAATATCTCCTTTCAGCTGCTGCTGCTACTGTTGCATGTGTATCAATATTGTTTCGTTATTAAGAGCCGTTGGATATTATGACTCGGAGCAGTTGCCATCTGCTTGGGTATGATGCGGACTTTTTTTTTTTTCATGAATTCGCAAGCTCATTTTACGCGAGCAAATTAATGAATTTTTAAAGAGCGAGTATTCGTTGCCCCAAATGGTTTTTTGAGCGCACGATTCGCACGCGAGTGACATTTCATTGGACTCGCGTTATGGACGTTCCTATATAGTTCATTGAGGTTTGGAAAACATTGAAACGTGCGAGAACAATGAAAATTTTTGAGTATTTTTTCTATAGCTACATAGTTACTGAGGAGGAAAAATCACAATATTTCAATTAATATTATTAATTATTCCGCGTTTGACGATGCCGAAATTATTTGAAACTTTTTCTCGAACTCGAATTATAGAGAAATCAACTAGAGTTTAAAAAAATGACATTTGAATGGTATTATTTTTGACGAATGAGATCTCAAAGTTCGAGTCACGTTTTTACATTGATTATGTCTGGACGAGATAGACGTGCAAACCCATGACGATCCGCCTAGCATCTGTAAGCAGATCTAAAAACGCTGGAGCATAGTTGTTTTGACGATAACACATTATTGGGGTATGTACTGTCTGGTCGACTCTCGAGGCTGCTCGCTGAGTCGTCCGCCCGTACTTGCGTTGCCAAGGATCGCCGAGGCCTCGCCGTACTTTCTTCCGATACAGAAAACTGCCTGCTCGAGCTACGAGATGTAGCGAGCCATCGGCTAGTTGCCAGGTACTGCACGACCGAGATCTCGACCGGGAGGTGAAAGAAACTAGTCGAGATTCCCTTTTCAAAGAACTCACGTTTATTTATTCACCTCTCTTTTGCCTCTCTCGAGGCTCGAGGCTCGTGGCAAGCTTTCTTAGTTCTATTTCACTCACGTACTTAATAAATTCATCCGCGCGAATTATATTTTCGCTCTGTGCCACCTAGCGGCGACACGTCTACTACTTCACATTCATCGGTAAATGCTTTCAGTATCATGCAGTCAGTAATGTATTCATTACATACAATATTACAGTGATTTTTCGCGAGTACAAATACAAACTCTATTCTTCATTCGAAACAATGACGACAGAATAGAAGTTCATTAGAAAAATTTTATATTCGAATATCTGAAATTACATTACAAATTATCGACATTCTTTGGGACTAATTTCTAATATTCAATCGACAGAGCACGATTAAAATCATTGAACTCGCCAATGATATAAAGAGTGGGGATTTTTCAAAGTTTTTGGTTTTACAAGAGTCCACTAAATCGAAAACATAATGATCAACTTCTTCTGGCCAGGTATTGTTTGGTTTTTCTTTGCTCCTGTAAATTAATCGAGTTTAATGAAGCAATCGCTTAAAAAAATAATTGTAGCAATATTACGCATAAAAAAGTATACCCAATTACGCCGATGTTTTCCATTATTCTCTCGATTATATGGCTTCGCGAGTGTGAAAACGTGACTCGAACTTTGAGGTCTCAACTTTTGAAATAGTCGAACGATTCATCCGAGCGAAATAATACCATTTTGAGCAAGAGTTCATAATTCTAAGCTTCAATACAAAAAGCGACGGTACCTTTCATTCCCAAGAAGTGGGACGTTATTTAAACTAGCGCAATAAATGAGTGAAAAATTTCAAACGATAAATCTCAGCTCTGTCAGCCAGCGCGATCGGACCCGGGCAGCAACTTTTTTTTGGTTCGATTCATCAAAAGGTTAGATTTTATAAATTACCGAGCGAAGATGAGCGCACAATAGAGCAATATATAGTCTATGTTTAGAAGAAGTACAAAAATGAGAGCAAAAAATTGGGGTTAAAAAGTGGAGTGGAAGCTCGCTGCTGCTGTGGCGTTCGAGTGCGCAGAAAAAGATAACAAAACGAGGAAGAAGAGAGAGAAGCAGCTCGTTCGAAGATAAAAATTGGCGTATCTTCCGTAAATGCTCGCTCGCTCGTACTTTCTCTCGCTCTCGTGCCAGGGTGCACTGGAGTAGAGAGAAAACTTTTCTTTTACCGGGCGTTATATACACATACGCGCGCGCGCGTGGGAGAAGCGAAGCTAATGCCTGCTGCATCGAAAGCCCAGCACTGCACACGGCGAGCTTGCAGCTGACCGCGCTGACAAGTATTGCTGCGCGGGGCTGGCAGCGATGCCCGCTACGACATATATATATAATATACATACGTATGTCCATAAACAACGTCGCGGAAAGAAAAAGGAAAAAGTACAGGAACGCGCGGCTGAAATAGGTGGCCCGGCTATTTCGGGTTCCTTAAATCAAAGTTCAAAACTGTAAAGCTCGCGCGACAGAGCCTGCGGTGCACGCGGGCAAATAAGCGCGCGCGTCACGACGAGCAGCATGGCAGAAGGAGAATGACCTATGCACCGACTGTCGCTATATACTGCTGCTACTGCTGCCGCTCGAAAATTTCATTTTGTATTCAAACAATTTTTTCCTCTTTTTCCTTCGCTTTCGAGCTCCTCGAGGGAAAGAATACAAAGTTTGCGAGGAGGAGGAGGAGGAGCTCTCCCCGGGGCGACATTCACGCCCGAGCAAAGAATAAGTGTATCGCGTACTGCCCTCGAGCTATATACACCGGGAGACTCCTTCTTTTCTCAACTGAAGTTCACAATTTTTAATTTTCGTTTAGTTCGGCTGGCGCGTTAGGATAAAGACGTCGCGCGAGATCAAAACTCGGCCAAATACTTGTTTAAATAGGCTTGAAAGTTCACGCCATACGCATCGTGTATATCGGTATATATAGTAGCTCGACTCGCTAATCTCGTGGACGCAGAAAACGCATTAATAAAAGAGCTATGTGTATGAGCGTGTATCATATATATATGGCTCGGCTGCATCGAAATGCGCATTTTCCTACATACATTGTATCGCACTGTATAAAAGAAAGTGGATTTCGATCGGGACGAGATTTGCGAGCAGTGCCCATATATAATGGCGATCGCTATCATGTATATTCG